GGTCGGAAACATCTCTCCACCGCCTCCGCCGCCAGTCGAGATGCAATCAAGCAATATGCAACCTCCTCCTCCTTCTCCGATTCCACAGGCCATTACGCCTCCTCCTCCACCTCAATCCACCATTCCAATTCCGTTTCCTCCTCTTTCTCCGCCGCCGTCTCCTCCTCCACCATCACCTCCGCCGCCGCCGATTCAAAGATCTCCTCCTCCTCCGCCGCGTGCGTTAGCTTCTCCTCCACAATCTAATAGACACCAACCACGGCGGCTACGGCCGCCATCTCCTCCTCCTCCTGCACGGGTCTTCAAACAGTCGGACAAAAGCGGATTAAACACAGGGAAAACGGTGGGTCTGGTATTTGCTGGGTTTGCAGCAATCTTACAGATTTGCGTTGTTGCCTTCTTAGTTTTCAAGAGAAAGCAGCTTCTAAGAATGACACACACTTATTGATTTTGGAGAAGAAAGAGAAAAAAGAGAATTTTCATCACAAGGAAAACACATTTGAGCCGACGAGGAAGAAGAAGATAGAGAATCACAATTGATTAAAGATGATTGCGAATGAAGTGTGTGTTTTCCCTCAAATCGGATCAAGAAAGTGTTCTTTCTTCATCAGCTGTTTTCCTCTGTAAATGGGTAACATTCAAGTTCTTCTTTTCTTCTTTGTATTCATCTTTCAGTCTGAATTTTTTTGTTCTTTTTTAAGGGTCGTGTAGTTTTTCATTTACATGCCTAACCGATTTGCTAAGCTAACTAGAGAGGAAACAACAGAGAGAAAAAGAATGGCTCGAGTCATGTAAAATTGTTTTTTAGGGGTTCTGTGAGATGTTCTAAGAAAAAAAGAGAGATATCTAATTTCATTTTGTGAGTTCGGAAATGTGCTTGTTCGTTTTGAATTATTCTTTGTTACATTCTCTACTTCTCTTCTAAATGATTTCATTCAAAGGGTTATACACAAATCCTCTGTTCATGTATATTGGTCCGATATCTTGGTTTGTTTGTGTCATGTTAGAATAGTGAGAATCTAGAAGGCAGAGTAAGATAAGAAGATGAAGTTTCTTTCTCCATGTTATGCTTTTCTTAGACAAGAGATTCTTTGTCAGTTCTCTTAGGTATGAGTTTGACTCTTGAGGCTTTTTAGATAGGAACCGTGTAGACTGTAGTTGGTACCTCTTGGGATCAGAATACGTAGAATCTTTCGTGTTTGGTAGCTCTTGGAATCAGAATATGTTGAATCTTCTGTGTTTGATAGCTCTGGGAATCAGAAAACGTCGAATCTTTAATGTTTTATCTGTAAGACTTTGGTTCTTTAGACCGGGTGGTTCTGCATCTTCTTATGTAATGTAGAAGGTGCACATTTGATGATGAATGGGAATTGATAACTGGCCTTTAACTGGTGGTATTGTGTACATGAAGAGCTGAGAACCAGACCGATCATCAGTATAGCTACCACATTATTTTTGGGAAATTTCTGGTGTTCTGAAAGTTTCATGATCAGATTCGGTTTACGCAAACCGGTCTGGTTCGCATGGTTGAAGAATGATCTTGTTTCCAACAATGGAAAGTGTTTTAAGACGCGTTTTTGTGTGTGTGTTTTGGTATGAACAAAGAAGATGAGCTGGTTCTGATCTGGACCTGATTCCCTTCACAGAATCTTCGTTGGCAAAAATGCTTTTAAAATGCTAATCACAGTATTTAATACTAATAAAATAACGTTGTTAATGATTCCAAGTAATCATACGCACGTAAAAGGAGTTATATAGTTAATGGATCAAGAGTCATGATGTTAGTCTTTTAAATCTCCATCATTCCTTATGCTAAAGAAAAGCACAACATGCATGGAACGACAAATACACAAAAAGTTGTACATGATTACTTGCTTTAATCATATTCATTTGCAAATGCGTACAATTATTGATATTTTAGCATATATATATAAGATCAGTATAGATAAGGATAAGTATGCAACTAACTATAGATGCTTGCATCCTAAGAAACAAATCAATAATATATATAAGCCATATTATCTCTGAGAAAGTCAAGTTTTCTTTTGTTGCTTTCAGCTACAGTAAAATAAAAACGATATCTTGAAAGAAAATAGTTGCTGGTGAAAGCAAGAGAAACACACAGAGACAG